CAACTCTTGTATATTGTTCATGACAATAGATAAGTAGAAAGATGGAAAAGAACTTTATTCCAACCATGTAGAATGTTTTACATTTAGAATAAAGTTAAGTAATGATAAACTTCACTAATAATCTACATTTTATTTGTTTTTTTCTTAATATAGCAAAAGAATTTGGTGCGACTGAATGTATCAATCCAAAAGACTATGATAAACCAATCCAACAAGTTTTGGTTGATATGACCGATGGTGGACTTGACTATACCTTTGAATGTATTGGTAATGTCCACACCATGGTAAGAAATTGCCAATCTGGGTCGTTCCATTCTATTTTTAGGGAGGTTAAAGGTGAAACACAAAATGTGTATGTGTATCTTTATATAAGCTATTGTTATATTTTCTGAAAAGGGAAAACTTTTGATGTTGGATATCACTGGTGGTCATCCTTATTATCTCAACATACCTGGTAATCTTGCAATTCATGTTGAGGATCTTGCCTAACCAGAAATGTAATAATATTAATAAACATGATTGTTATTGTATGTATCAAAACAACGGGGCAGAGGTGTATCTGAAAAAGCATTTTAAAGTTATGATAAATCATGTTCCAAAGTATAAAACAATAATAAAAAAAATTACATGTTAATATTGCAGCCTTTATTAATAATTCATCCATTGCAGTTTCTGCATAAATTAAGTTTTGTAGTATAATTATATTTTATTGATTTCAGCGTGCTGCATTAGAATCCTGTCATAAAGGTTGGGGTGTGTCCACAATTATTGGTGTTGCTGCATCAGGTCAAGAAATCTCCACCAGGCCATTCCAGCTGGTAACTGGAAGAGTTTGGAAAGGGACAGCATTTGGAGGTAAATATACATATATTAAAAATGTTATTTCAACTTTCTCGGACTTGCTACTTTATAATTTGTGATTTAAAAATAGCTACCCAACATTAGTGAATTTGTAATGCATGATTTAGTAGAAACTAAATAAACATAAACTGCACATTTTGCACATATGTAGGTGTTTTTCTATTGTCTCCAGATTTTGATCGCAAGCTTTGAAAAAATATGGGAAAAA